CTTCACTGGTGCCCCGCCGGTGTATACCGATAGCGCGAGCGGGGTTACCATTCCATTATCATCCATTAAAAAAAAATACCACAGTGCATAACTGAGCTGCGGAGCGCGGTTTAAACTCGTCCGATCACGAGACATCGTACCACGTGTGACGTCACCACCGGCGCGGAATGTGGCCGGAGAGAGCTGCTGTTAGGGTTCCGTGGTGCTAGCACAGTACACACAACTGATTGTAATATTTTCATACATTTATACATACATATCTGTCACGCCGGCCGCCCTTCAATTGTTTCTGAGTACCCTAATGGGTGACAAGCGTGAGAGATAAGATATTTTTAAGGTATCACAATGGAATGGTAACTCCGTCCGCGTTAACGGTATACGCTGGCGGTGCACCAGTGAAAATGGGTGAAAATGGTATGGTAGCCCCGCCTGCGCTAACGGGATACGCTGGCGGAGCACCAGTGAAGGGTGATAGATGAGAATGAAAACAGGCCAGTTAGCCCATCATGATGAATTCATCAGGAATTAACCATGATAGTTTCCAGGGGAACCGCGAGGAGGTCGACCTGGTTGGATATATTGCTAGCAATGGGCTGTTAAAAAAAAGTCCTCTCGAGAGATAAGATTGTTAGTATGCAAATAATTTCTTACATGCAACAGCGAGTTCTATTGTAATCGAACACCTCATGGTAAGTGGTAACGGTCGCCTATACACACGAGCGTATTCAGACTCTTTTGTTGTGGCTGCAATTAAATTATGGAACACACTTCCTCATGAAATTAGAAATAGCCCAAACATTGGGATTATCAAATCGCGTCTGAAGAATTATTACCTCTCACAATGCTGATGTACGTACTTATTATATTTGTGTATTATATATAATATATATCTATCTATTTATATGTATTTTCTTATATATATTTTTATTTATTTATTTATACCTATTGGTTTTTTCAATTGTAAAGACATTTTATTTAATTATTTTTAACTATAACATTTAAGTCGATTGGTACACATGTATGACTGTAACTACTTTTTTTTTACAACACAGGGGGCAAATGAGCATGCGGCTCACCTGATGGTAAGTGACTACCGCCGCCTATGGTCACCCACAACACCTACGGCATTGCAGGTGTGCTGCCGGCCTTTTAAAAAGGAATATGCTCTTTTCTTGAAGGTTATGTTGTCGTATTGGTTCGGAAATACTGCTGCTGGAAGTTGATTCCAAAGAGTGGTTGTGCGTGGGAGACAGTGCCTTGAAAAACGCACGGTGGAGGACCGCCAATGACTACTAATGAACTGTCAGTTTTTCTCATATATTGGGTTTGCTGGAAGAAATCTCTATTGGAGATAAGCTTGCCTTTGTGCACTATTATGTTTGTTTTTACATTTCAATAACCTTTTGTGTACAATAAAGAATAAAAAACATTCCCTAATGAGAAAGTTTAAGGTTACAAATATTTAACGGAAATACCTACGGAACCCCTTCAAGTGTGCGAACAGTACGCGCTCGGCCGATTTTTATTTTCATTTTCTGTTGCGCTTCGTGTGTCCACGGCGTTGGTGGATTCGCGGAACTTTGCGCGGTACACGCATCACGACGTGAGTGAAGTTTTGGTATAAATTAAGACCACATAAAAAAACTACTTCAATTATGGAAAAAGGGGGGGGGGGGAAGGGATTGTTAGTAATGGAGACTGAAAATCCCATTGCTAGCAATATTTTTTTTTATACAACTTAGAATGGCAAACAAGCTGACGGCCCACCTGATGGAAAGTGGTAACCGTCGCCTATAGACATGAGCAGTACCATGGACATAACAGAGTATACTGTTTCGCCTATGATACCCCCCATGCGTTGCCATTCCTGAGGACTCAGATGTTATTCCTATGTACCCTGTAAATTCACGCCATATCCCACCCTTCAAACCGAAACACAGCTATGCAAACATAACTGCTTCACGGTAGAAACACGAATGGGACAGAGGTACCCAAGCATTCGACTTTTGTACAAAGTCTCCCTCTGGTGACTCTGGTGACAATATACTCAACCAGGTCGACCTCCTCGCGGCTCCCCCTGGAAACTATCATGGTTAATTCCTGATGCGTTAATTATGCTGCGCTGATCATGATGCGCTAACTGGGCTGTTTTCATTCTCATCTATCACCCTTCACTGGTGCTCCGCCAGCGTATCCCGTTAGCGCAGGCGGGGTTACCATACCATTTTCACCCATCAAAAAAAAATTATGGCAAAAGCAGTTGTTTTGATTTAAAAACTAAACTAATGAATCGATTTAGGTGAAAAAAATATGAAAATTTAAATTCTGTAAGTGTATTTATTCAAATAAAAAATAAAACAATTTTCAATATCTTTATTTGGATATTATTAATGTACTAGCGGCCCGTCCCGGCGTCGCACAGGTGGACATTTTTACATTTTAAAAAGTGGCCATTAAGGCTGCACAGGCGACGGAAGCTTAAAAATGGAGTACCTTCTCCCGTTTTCCCAACATTTCCCTTCACTGCTCTGCCCCTATTGATCGTAGCGTGATGAAAAGTATACTATAACCTGCCCAGGAGTATGAAGAATAATTGTACCAAGTTTCGTTAAAATCCGTCGAGTAGTTTTTGATTCTATAACGAACATACAGACAGACAGACAAAAATTTCACTGATTGCATTTTTGGCATCAGTATCGATCACTAATCACCGCCTGATAGTTATTTTGGAAATATATTTCATATACAGAATTGACCTCTACAGATTTATTATAAGTATAGATTATAGTGACAAACATGCAGCCAGTTTGGTGGTAAACGCGGTTACCGTTTGCAGTTGAAGTGATATTTAAATTTTAACAGCATAAACTAGAACCCGTATAAAATTATTACATTATTGCATTTAATTTCAACTTTTGACAACATATTGCCATCTCTTTTTTAATAGCTGTATTAATTTATGTAAGCTCCATAAATTAATACAGCTCCATAGATGGCGGTATAGTTAAAATAATGAAAAGTATTTATATTATTACATTTTATGCATCTTTCTTAGTGTAAATTATTTTTACGGCATAAAGCTAGTATTATTAAAATTCTAATAAAAATAAATACTATAAAAAATAATCACTATATCCAAATTTAGCATTTAGACAAGTTGTACCATCTGTGTTCGAATAGCTGTATTAATATTTGTGTACATGTCTAACAGATGAAACTGTACATGATATAATTAAAAAAAGTAATCATTTTTCTTTTGTTATTGGGTAATAAAAAATATAATCTATTTATGTTTCTACACATTGATCAAATTTCATTTTGACGCTTAATTATTACAAATATTGAATTTATTTTTATTTGGCAATATGAAAAGTTTAGACTTTACAGATAATAAAAATTATGTCCTTTTTCTAGTAACCAGAAAATAAAAAAAAAAAAAATAGAGATATAACCAAGGCTGCGTCACTTCGAATAAAAATGTTTGTAGGAAATCTATGCAACCGGATGAATGAATTAGATAATTAAATTTACACGATTAACATTTATTTTATTGTGACAATACGTTTGGATAGTTGCATAGAGTGCAGTATCAACTCATAAATATAATAGTGATGACTTACTCTATGTTCGTTATAACCGAAAAATATTTAATTATCTTTGTTTCTACAGATCAAATTATTATTTTGGAATTTAAGTATGTGGTAATTATATTACTAACATTTTTTTTGAGCTGTAATTATTGTTGGGCGCCTTTACAGCTTTACCAGGCTTATATTACTAATATGAAAAAGTTTTAAACTGAAGACGTGTAATTTTTCAGGTATAGTGTGCCGCCGTACGTGCCCCGAAATAGAATAGACCATCCCTTCCTTTCACGTGAGTGTCGTAAGAAGCGACTAAGTGAGAGCGAGGGATAGGCAGCAGCGTCTCTCTTAAAACGTCTCTAAAAGCTTAACTGCGGTTGCCAACCCGCCTGCCAAGCGTGGCAACTACTGGCAAAACTCCCCTTATGGGCGGCTTATGTTCAGCAGTCGACAGTTTACGGTTTAAATAATAATAAATAACCTTCAAGAAAAGAGTATATTCCTTTTTAAAAGGCTGGCAGCACGCCTGCAATGCCGTTGGTGTTGCGGGTGATCATGGGTGGCGGTAGTCACTTACCACCAGGTGAGCCGCATGCTCGTTTGCCCCCTGTGTTGTAAAAAAAATATAGTAGGCACTAATGGTTTTATATGAAATTGCTTCTTGGTGTATTTTCATATTTTTTTTTATACATCTTAGAATGGCAAACAAGCTGACGGCCCATCTGATGGAAAGTGGTAACTGTCGCCTATAGACATGAGCAGTACCATGGACATAACAGAGTATACTGTTTCGCCCATGATACCCCCCATGCGTTGCTATTCCTGAGGACTCAGGTGTTATTCCTCTGTACTCTGTAAATTCACGCCATATCCCACCCTTCAAACTGAAACACAGCCATGCAAACACAACTGCTTCATAGTTGCAACACGAATGTGACAGAGGTATTCAAGCAATCGACTTTTGTACAAAGTCTCCCTCTGATGAAATATAAAATGACTCCTGTTACTTTCAAGACAGATTTATTCCCTGTTTTAAGAAAAGGATGTAATACACTCATTTTTTTTTCTGTTGTATGTGTGTTGTTAAGAATGTGTATGTTATGTATATATTTAATTGTGTATATATATATATATATATATATATATATATATATATATATATATATATATATATATATATGTTTGTATATGATAATATTTATATAACAGTGCCCCACCTACCCTTTGTCTTTTTCTCAATGTCCTCTACCCAAAGGTTGTCTGGAAGAGATTGCTTAGCGATAAGGCCGCCTTTTGTATCACTTCTCATTAATATTTACTGTATTTGTTATTTCTCTTTTTACTTGGTGCAATAAAGTTTATATAAATAAATAAATAAAATACACTCCCTAAGCAGGCGTGGGATAAAATAAAACATATGATAAAAAAATCAATATATTTATCAAAATACATCATTAATTTCTCTTTATTTTTTGTTTGTTCTTCCCGCAACACAGTGAGAGCAGCGCTCGCGCGAGCCTGTACACGAGGTAGAGGGCGACCAGCAGCAGCGCGGCCTGGTCCAGCATCCAGCGCGCGTACCACGCGTACTGCCGCGACGGAGACCGCAGGTGGTGGGCGCCTGCAATATAACGATATATTAGGACGATAAACGCATGTCTATAGGCGACGGCTACCGCTTACCACAAGGTGGGCCATCAGCTTGCTTGCTTTTACAAGTTGCATATGTATTAAAAACTTAACTTTGTCTTTTGAGGGTAGTTTCACATATTCATATTTTCATATAAACTTATCGAGTAAATATGAACGCTGTCATAATGCCATTTTGTATACATTTAACAATAGGTACTCTAACAAATATTGAATAGTGTGGGACCAAGTATGCTACCCTGAGGTACGCCTAGACATACTTCACTGGTCATTTCTGATCAAATTTATTCTTAAGCATTGAGAATGTCAACTTTGAAATCATATTGTATTCTGTAATGCTCTTGGTGCTGTTCATGTCTATGGACATCATTTTGACAAGTTTTGTTTTTGGTATTGAAAGGGTTTCGCGATTGATCATGATCTTATTTGATGGAAAACGACGGTGTGGTCTAAGATGAAGCTTGAGGTCCTACAAATAGCCTATTTACATTTGGCTTAATTTGGTGCAGATCATATTTGGATGGAAAAACATAAGCAGGGAGAGAGTTACACTCCTTGGCCATACGCGTGATGAAGGAAGAAAGGAAGACGCTTCGTGCATTTAAATGGTATGTCTACGGCGAAAGAGTTGAAGCGTGTTTGCCATTCTGAGTGTAAAAAAGTCAAGCTCATACTATGCCTCGGCGTTACCAGTATTATTTAGTTTTACTCCTAAGCATGTTTATGGGTGTTATATTATCTGTGGTAAGAGTCTTGTCGATGATTGTCAAAATATACTAGAGAAAAGAGTTTCGAGTTGTACATGAAGAAAATGAAAATAAATATATTGCTGGTGTTACAGAAGTCTTATTAAGTACAAAATGGAAGGTCAAGAAGTATACCAAAATAAAGCAATAGCTGCACATGTTTGCAGCGTATGCTTTTGTCCAGTCACCGTTCTCACCTTTGGTTTCGATGGCGAGCTCGACGTAGTGTGAGACCAGCTTGCTGGGAGGCACCGGCCTGTTGCGGAACAGGCGCGACAGGTACTTCGCGCGCTTGTAGTACCTGCAAACGGCAACAATACGCTCTAAAGAACTCTTCTCTGCCTCTTTACACTGTCATAAAACTCTCATCCTTAACGTACACTAAAGCGACAATGAGATAGCTTGACAGTAATTGGCCACAATAAGTTAATTACATTGAGAAACATTGTCAAAATTGAGACATTCAGCTAAACTTATCAATCCAGATTGAATAGACATAGAAGTAAATTGGTAGCTCAATTACAAGGATCGGGAATCATTAGGTTCTCTCGATTAAAAAGACAGCACCCAAAGACTGGTAGAAAGATTTACAAACAGAGATTTAGAGTTGGTTAATGGATTGGCCTCATCATATATTAACAAGATTTAAACCTGACATCCGAACAGCAGATTGGATTATTGTTCTACAAGGAACAGATTACCAAGTAGCAGATTAGAAAAAAAAAGAGGAACATTGCACAATAATTGTCTGCTTGGATATCTGTCTCTGTTACGTGTTTCCATCGACAAATAATAACTTGTATGGCTGTTCAATTGTTTATTCTTTGAATCGTGAGATATGACAATGAAATTACAGAGTATGGAACACATTCGTCCTCAGGAATGGAATCGTGTGATGAGTACCATTTTTTTTTATATACATATATGCCCGGATATTGATTTCCAGGATTTTGACATTTATTTCATCTTTATGTAGGATTTCCTTTTTACCTTTCAGATTTAAGTAGGATTTTTGGGTACTATTTATTTACTGTTATTTTATTGATATTCGACTGACTTATTACATTTTACTTATTTCTATTTCCTTATTTCCAGTTGATTACATTAACATTTATATTGGCCGAGTATACTCAGTATACTTATTTAATATAACTTATTTACTAACATAATTTCTATTTACTATTTTTAATATTTTTATACCGTATTCTAGGAATAGCTTATGCTTCTTATTATTAGCCATTATTCCTATATATTCTTTCTCGTCTGGTTTCATTTTAATTTCTACTTCCAATTTCCTTCGCATTTCCCCGAAACGAGGACATTCTGATATATGTTTAATGGTCTCTGGTTGTGTATGATCACAAGGGCACGACGGGTCCTCCCGACACCGAAAACGGTGAAACGAAAACGAACCCACCGTGTCCCGTGAGTAATTGTGTTGTGTATCTGTTTGCTTGAGTTTTACCGATAATCCTGTACGCGCTCATTACATCTGGTAGAAACATTTTGTTTCCATTATGGAATAGGAGTACCATTATGTCATATCCACAGAAGCTATACATGTCTATATCGGAAGCAGAGGCGTGACATTACTCAACCAGTCTACTCATGACCACGGTCAGTCGAAATGTGGAGAAAACCCTAGCTGATTGATCATCGTCATATCTCATCAACCGTTAACTGTCCACTGCTGAACAAATGCTTCTCCCTTAGAAGTTTTGCCAGTAGTTGCTTCGTTTGGCAGGTAGGTTAGCAACCGTAGTTAAGCTTTGGATGTTTTAAGAGGACGCTGCTATCCATCTCTCGATCGTTAAATAAATTAGAGATCGTTAAGTAAAGAAGAGATTTTGCCTCACTCTGCGTGTTCTACCGCTTGTATAATGGATTATGCCCAGAGGAATTGTTCAAAATAATGCCCACAGCCACTTTCTACTATTGTACGGCTCGCCATCGACAGGGAGTTCATCCTCATGTCTTACAGCCTCAATAGTCTCGTACTGCGCGGTTTCAGAGATGTTTCCTCCCACGAACACTCAGGTTGTGGAATGAGCGCCCTGCCGAGGTTTTCCCAAGAGACTACAGCATGGGGTTCTTTAAAAGGGGGGTAAAAAGGTTTTTTTTAGGATCGGCAACGCGCGCGTAATACCTCTGGTATTGCAGGTGTTCATAGGCTACGGTAACCACTTAACATCAGGTGGGCCATATGCTTGTTTGCTACCTCAGTGGTATAAAAAAATGACTATATTTTATTTAAACCATCACGTTAATTCATGTTTCTTATAAACTATAATCAGAGCTTAGAACTTTGAACATTCAAATAGTTTTTGGAACTTTGTAAGTTGCAGGAATGGAACGCTTACTTTTATATTAATTCAAGGTCAGATTCTGCGTGAATCTAAATAGGCACAACGTATATTACGTTCTATAAATCTCTGTAATATTTTGGAATACTTCAAATAAAAGAAAAAAATGGCTATAATAATAATTATTATTTCAGTCACTGCTGAATATGTTTTCCATATAAGGGGAGTAATGCCAGTAGTTGCCACGGTTGGCAGGCGGCAACCGTTGCCAAAAAACGCAAAGGTTGGCAACCGCAGTTAGGCCTTTGAGGATATTTTAAAAGAGACGCTGCTGCTCATCCCTCGCCCTCCCTTAGTCGCCTCTTACGACACCCACAGGAAAGGAAGGGGTAGCCCATTCTATGCCGGGGCATACCCAGCGATGGCTATAAACTAGGTCGAAAAAAAATGACGGAAAAGAAAATGTAAATCCGCCTAACATGGCTTACCAGATGGCTTTACGTGCTTTCCATGGCGCAAACATATTTAAATGATTCAAACATGAGAAGGAATACTACTAAAATATCTCACTTGTCATTATTCAGCATCTCCTTCAGTTCAACCCTCAGCTGGTCAGCAACATCGTCTCCGAATACGATCTGCCTCGCGTAGCCGTTTTGATAAGCACTCTGCGCATTGTTACGCTGATCTCCAAACATCGGGATAGCCAAAAGTGGTACACCATACTGAAGAGATTCTAAGGAGCTGAGGAGTCCACCGTGTGTGATGAATAGCTTCACGTTGGGGTGGGCTGGGTGAGAAAATTTTTGCATATTTATAAAATTCTTTATTGCACGAGAATCATAAAAATATACAATGACAATTGAATAATTCAAGTAAGAAACAGACAGAAAGTACAGATAAAAATATATACATAAAGGTACAAAAGGCGGTCTTAATACTAGGCCAATCAATTACAGATAACCTTTGGTTAAAGGAGAATAGATAGAAGTGGGTAGGTGGTGCAAGAGTGAATTTTTTAAATGCATAAAATATTTGGTATTTATCCGAGGGTTACTTTTAAAAAGTCGTTGAATACTTCTGCCTTTTTTTTATACAACTTAGAATGGCAAACAAGCTGACGGCCCACCTGATGGAAAGTGGTAACCGTCGCCTATAGACATGAGCGGTACCGTGGACATAACAGACTACACTGTCTCGCCCATGATACCCCCCATGCGTTACCATTCCTGAGGACTCAGGTGTTATTCCTCTGTACCCAGTAAATTCACGCCATATCCCACCCTTCAAACCGAAACACAGCCATGCAAACACAACTGCTTCACGGTTGAAACACGAATGGGACAGAGGCACCCAAGTAATCGACTTTTGTACAAAGTCTCCCTCTGGTAACAAAGTCTGCCTATCCGTGTTTCTGTCCTGAAGCGGAAAGGATTCTAGGCTTGCTTTTAAATTTTTCAAATTACAAACTACGAAGGCATATTATCTTGGTACTCAAGAATGGCAACTCAAGAGTTATAATTTATGAGCGACACATCTATTCTGCAATGTCAAAGGTACTATTGATGCTTTTAGGCGACTGTTAAATACCACTTTCCATCATGTGGCCCGTTAGCTAGAAACAAATTTACCAGGAATTAGTCTCTTGATTATATATGATCCATGAAAGATTCTGCATGGCGGCAGAAACACGAGTAGAATGCATATTACGTCTTTACAAAATGTCCCTTTGGTAAATTCTGTTATGAAGACCATAATATTTTAGCTATATATTGCCAACGGTTGCTACTTTTCCACAGGCGGGCCGTTAAATCTCCATAGCCATATAAAATAAAACTTTAATAGTGAGCGGTGTCTTAGCAAATATAACTCACCTAAGATACTGGGCTGTGGCAACCACGGCCGTACGTGCACGTTCTTCGGTAGGCCGGCGATCTCCTCCTCGAACTTCCACAGGACCGTGTACGGCAGCTCGCCCAGCACTTGTATCAACCCGCGGCGGATGTGCTCGGGAAGGGCGGCCGACTTCAGCACAGACCCCATGCTGAAGTACACCACGCCGTGTTTCGACGAGTCCAATAAATCTTGCAGATCCTGGGAATTGTATTTCGTAATCATGAGGCTTGTTTTGAGAGGAGAATCAAGTATCGCCGTAATCGGATTGAATGTAAGAATAAAGAAGAGTTAAGAAGAAGAGTAAGCAACAAAATATATTCTCTATACTTACCCTATAAGGGACTTAGCGTGAAGAAACATTGTGCATGCAACTAACATTTTCTCCTAATTTCTTATCGTCTCAATGGGAAAAGGGATTACAGAGAGTAGTGTCTAGCAATATACCCTGTTTTTTTTTAATGGGTGATAATGGGGGGAAAGAGATTGTTAGTGACGGAGACTGAGAATCCCATTGCTAGCAACCAGGTCGACGTCCTCGCGGTTCTCCCGGGAAACTATCATGATTGATTCCTGATGAATTCATCGTGATGGGCTAACTGGCCTGTTTTCATTCTCATCTATCACCCTTCACTGGTGCTCCGCCAGCGTATCCCGTTAGCGCAGGCGCAACTACCAGTCCATTTTCACCCATAAAAAAAAGGGTAGTAATGGAATGGCAACCCCACCCGCGCTATCGATATACACCGGCGGGGCACCAGTGAAGGATGGCAGGTAAGGATGAAGCAGGTCAGTTAGCCTATCGTGACGAATTCAACAAGAATTGTTCACAATAGTTTCCAGGGGGAACCACGTGGAGGTCGACCTAATAGGGCATATTGCTAGCAATGGAGCTGTCAAACTTCATTGCTAACAATCGCTTTCCCCCTACAATATACCCTGTTAGGTTGGGAGAAAGGAGTATTAACAATGGGAATACTAGTCTTTATCACTAGCAACATACCATGTCAGGTCGAACACCGAGTGGTCTTCTCTGGAAATTAGACTGTATTATAGTATATCAGCGTATTTTTTTTATACAACTTAGAATGGCAAACAAGCTGACGGCCCACCTGATGGAAAATGGTAAACGTCGCCTATAGACATGAGCAGTACCATGGACATAACAGAGTATACTGTTTCGCCCATGATACCCCCATGCGTTGCCATTCCTGAGGACTCAGGTGTTATTCCTCTGTACCCAGTAAATTCACGCCATATCCCACCCTTCAAACCGAAACACAGCCATGCAAACACAACTGCTTCACCGTTGAAACACGAATGGGACAGAGGTAGCCAAGCAATCGACTTTACAAAAAAAAAACAAAAGTTCAAAGTCTCCCTCTGGTAATTTAATTAATGTCTATGGTATTATTTATGTCAATAGGTGATGATTAGCACTCTCCATTATGTGGGCCGTAAACTTGTTTGCTATCATAAAAAATTACCTTCGGTAGCGGGGGAGTATCCTCCGGTATATGGTAACCAGCGACGTTAATCACATTGGGTGGGACCGGCTGCGCTGGCGCAAAAGACGGGTGCCCATTCACCAACAGTATCGATAGATCATTCGACGCTTCCGAAAATGGTCGTAGTGGAACACCACGGGCGGCTGCCAAGGGCGAGAAGTAAGCGTTGTATCTCTCAGCTGCTGATGAGCGGTCCCACCTGAAATGAAAAAAGTCAATTAAGACTTTAAAATTAAGAGAAAAGGAAAGAAAAATCTAGAGATTAAGAAAAAACTAAATGAAGACTTCGTGCAAATGTCAGCGGCAGCGGGTGCACCTCTGTCCCGCTCGTGTTTCTGGTCATGAAGTATTTGTTTTTTTTTTAATACACGGGAGCATACGAGCATTTGGCTGACCTAATGGAAAGTGACTACCGTCGCCCATGATCACCCACAACACCAAAGATGCAGGTGTGCTGCCAGGTTTTAAAAAGGAATATGCTCTTTTCTTAAAGGTTATGTTGTTGTATCCCGGAAATACTGATGCTGGAAGTTGAATCCAAAGAGTGGTTGTGCGTGGAAGAAAGTGGTTGAAAAACGCACGGTGGAAGACCGCCACTCGTCCAGATGATTGGGATGAAACTTTAGTTCGTGGCGGGTTGTACAGCGGTGAAAATCAGCAGCAGGTATCAAACCGAACAATTCCTCAGAGCACTCCCCATGATAAATTCGGTAGAAGATGCACAGAGATGCAACATCTCTGCGCAGTTTCAATGGGTCAAGACGGACAGTATCATAAGAAGCGACTAAGGGAGGCCTGCCACTCTTTCAGATGGTTGAGATGGAACTTTAGTTTGTGGCGGGTTGTACGGTGGTGAAAATCAGCAGCAGGTATCAATCTGAACTGCGCTTGCATGGCTGTTCTTCCGTTTGAAGGGTGGGATTATTATCATGATAACTGACCGTTAACTGTCCACTACTGGACACAGGCTTCCTCCACAAGGGAGGTGTTGCCAATAGTTGTCACGTTTGGCAGACGGGTTGCTAACTACAGTTAGTCTTTGGTGGTGTATTTAAAAGGACGCTGCTGCCCATCCCTTGACTATTAAGTTCCCTTAGTCACCTCTTAAGACACCAACGGAGAAAGAGAGTGGCTCATTCTATGCCGAGAGCACAAGGCAATAAATAATCACCAACCAGTTATAGAGGGTTATTAAACTGTGTAAACCGGTGTTCAGGAGCCGCTGCCAGAAGTTCATGGGTATGGTTGCATTATTGAGGAAGATAGGTACAGTGGGCACTGAGCGCACCTCGTCCACCATCTCCTCGAGGATGGAATTATATACTGTGCCAACCAGTACTATCCACGGGACTTGCTGTACTGCCGCATATCTGTATAAAAATCATAAATATTTGTTACTATTGTAAACATACATTTTTATTTAGACGATCATACACGGGCTTTTTAACGACCATGTAATTTTAGACATAGTACATTTAAATAAATACACATAATGTTAACAGAGATTTAAAAGAGTAACTGTTGAGTTTCTTGCGGGCTCTTCACAACAGATAACAACTTTCCGAACCCTGCAGTAGATTTAAAAAATGACGATTTAAAAGTGCTTGTTAACAAGTCTATTTCAATAAAGATGATTTGAAATTTGAATTTTTTGAATTTTAAATAAATCATATATGAATGAAAAAGAGAATTTTTAATACTGGCCAGTGAGAAGATGTCAATAACGTAGATTAAGAATGCTAATATTCGTAGATATGTACTTCCATATTCTACGTTCCAGTTCACGACAACATGTTTCGTAGATATATAATTGAATTTAGAACGCGGAATAATCACCTGCTCACGTGCTAACAGACTAGCAATGTTGTCATATAAATATAAACGCACTAGGCGTCCTATCCTATCCTTAATCTACGTAAAAACGTGACAAGAAAACACACTAGCGTGCGCGTAGATGTGACAGTTTTGAATTTAATTAATTGAAAATGTGGAAATAGCAAAAGTTCACCTATTTGTTATAATTTAATTACAATTTATGGACATTTAGATTATATTTACATTTAATAAATTCATATACAAAAATATGTAAAGAGATGTTTATAGCGTAATTACGTGAAAAATATGCAATTTAGTGTTATTTTTTTCCTAATTTCTGTCATACCCAGGTATCACACATTTAATTCTTATCAACTGCATGCACATAGAGCCAATTTTTTTTCTAACTATGTATGCTGCTGACTGCAGATGGCCTTTACAGCTTAACCGAACGCGTATGCTGGGTACAGATGGCACTCCAAGCCCGCGAGAGGGGGGCGACAGAGGTGTCGGCTCTTACTTATGGATTGCGGTGTGCGCCCAAGGATGCCAGAGTGGCTCGGAGCTAATAATCCCTTTCCCCCCGGACCTCGGATTAGACCACAGCACTTTGACACCCATCGAGGGACGGAGGCCCGGTTAGTCGTAACGTAGGAAAGGACAGATTCGACAAAATGCGTTTGGGCAAATACCTAATCGCGCGCGATTGAAGATTCCTGCTTTTATACAAAATGTTTGGTCTCACCCAGCATCAGTCACCATTTTTCTATCCTAACCCAATTATTATTTGTGGTTGGCGTAATATATTTTTTGTCCATATTACAAAAAGATTTGGCTTATAGTTTTACGACCGGCCGCCTGTCTGACGTCAACCCTCTTTGGGAATAAATTGCTCTCACCCAGCATCAGTGTCGGAGAAAAACCATTCTGTTACCACAGCGTCGAACTTCGTATTGACGATTGCTTCTCTTACAGCAGGCGTGTTGATAGTCACAGATGTCACATTTAGCGCGCACTCTTTGATTAGGGAGATGCCTCGATTGGCCACCTCGGGGTTCATCATGTTAAGAGCTGGAATAGTTATTTTTTTTTTTTTAATAAATCCCAAGTATATTTGTTCCACTAAAAAAAATCGATTTTAATCGTGACAAAACCAAATTACCGAATGGATTTTTATGAAATTATTACGGAACCAATTTGAAAGTACAGTTGGATGTTTGTCTGTACATACAATACAAATTTTTTTGAAAGCACAATCTTTTAAATAAAAAAAAAAAAGAATTTTACAAATCAATTCATGCATGGAGTTCTGAGGTAACAAATGAAAAAAGAAGGAGGTGGCCTATTCTATGCCGGGACCAAACAGCCCCCATTTCTTTCCAGTAGGTATTGTAAGAAGCGACTAAGCAAACTTAATGGTCGCGTTATGGGCTACAGCGTCTTTTAAAACTTGACTAAAGCATAATTGCGGATTACTGGCAAAACCCCCAAGGAGGAGACTTATGTTCATCAGTGGACAGTTAAAAGCTAATATTACCAGAGGGAGACTCTGTACAAAAGTCGATTGCTTAGTATCTCTGTCCCATTCGTGTTTCAGCCGTGAAGCAGTTGTGTTTGTATGGCTGTGTTTCGGTTTGAAGGGTGGGATATGGCATGAATTTACTGGGTACAGAGGAATAACACCTGAGTCCTCAGAAACGCGTGGGGGGTATCATGGACGAAACAGTATACTCTGTTATGTCCATGGTACTGCTCATGTGTATAGGCGACGGTTACCATTTTCCATCAGGTGGGCTGTCAGCTTGTTTGCCATTCTAAGTTGTATAAAAAAAAATATGACGATGATGATGAAATTAAAGTAAATATTTATGATCCTTCAACAAGATACGTACATTCACCGATGACTTGTGTGGCCACCGGTATCAATTTCAAATTTTTATTTTTATTTTCGAACGGGTACGGAGTGATCCACGTCACCTGAAATCCAAATTATGGTTAGTATTAAAATTTATTAATATTTTACGGGAACTAAGAAGACATTTGTCTGCAAAGAGCAACAAAGTAGAGTTATGTAAATAAGTAAATGAGTTTTAGTGTTTTGATTCTAAACAGACATTCTTTCACCAGAGGCAGACTTTGTACAAAAGTCGTTTGCTTAGCCACCTCTGTCCCATTCGTGTTTCCACCGTGAAGCAGTTGTGTTTGCATGGCTGTGTTTCGGACTGTGATTCCTTAGTGTCTAGCGTATACCGATAGCGCAGGTTTTTTTTTTTTATACAACTTAACATGGCAAACAAGCTGACGGTCCACCTGATGGAAAGTGGTAACCGTCGCCTATAGACATGAGCAGTACCGTGGACATAACAGAGTATACTGTTTCGCCCATGATACCCCCCCCCCCATGCGTTGCCATTCCTGAGGACTCAGGTGTTATTCCTCTGTACCCAGTAAATTCACGCTACCATATCATTTTCATCAATAAAAAAAATAATGCGAAACTTTGTGAGGCTGCATGGGACTTCGTTACTATTTCACACAAACACTACTGAATGGATTAGATTGAAATTTGGTATATAGGTACATCATATCCTGCCCTCGCACATATTACTTTGTGTACTGATTCACGCGAGCGATACCGCGCTGTACAGCTAGTAAATTATACATTATACTCTGTTAATTTATTTAGGATCGCCGACATTTTTTTTATTTTTATACAACTTAGAATGGCAAACAAGCTGACGGTCCACCTGATGGAAAGTGGTATCCGTCGCCTATAGACATGAGCAGTACCATGGACATAACAGAGTATACTGCTTCGCCCATGATACCCCCTCATGCGTTGCCATTCCTGAGGACTCGGGTGTTATTCCTCTGTACCCAGTAAATTCACGCCATATCCCACCCTTCATCTCAACCGAAACACAGCCATGCAAACACAACTGCTTCACGGTTGAAGAGGTACCCAAGCAATCGACTTTTGTACAAAGTCTCCCTCTGGTAGAAGACATAAGACATAAGATACAGCGAAGCATTTCAATACACTAGTGGATTAGCTGTTCTATGTTAGAGGTAACCACAGCATGCCTTGTGTTTGAGAAACATTAAAATGGAATAAAATTGTTAAACTATTGAATGACATAAAATTAATTGTGGAATGAGCTCCCTGCCGAGCTTTTCCCAAGAGACTACAGTATGGGGTTCTTCAGGGTCGGCAACGCGCGCGTAATACCTCTTGTATTGCAGGCGTTCATAGGCTACGGTGACCGCTTACCATCAGGTGGGACGTATGCTTGTTTGCCACCTCAGTGGTATAAAAAAAAATTTACATTCACCCGATGATACCTAACAATTCAAATTACTTGAAATAAATTTAAATCAAATTAAAAATAAAAAAAAAACATAATGGCGAGTGAATGACATTAATTTTTTAATTTAGACATGAACACAGAGTGACTGTCAAAGTGAATATCAAGTTCAGGCTTGCTTATATCGTCTATGGTACTGTTCATATCTATAGGCGATAGTTATCATTTGCTATCAAGTGGGTCGTCAACTTGTTTGTCATTCTAAGTTGCATAAAAAAAAAACAAAAACACGTAAAAAAACATTTGTTTGTACAAACCATGTTATCTGAGAATTAATATTCATGTATATTTTTTGTCTTATATTGTTTCATTTTAAATCTATACATCTATATATATTTTTTTTAATGGATGATAATGGAATGGTAACCCCGCCTGCGCTATCGGTACACGCTGGCGGGGCACCAGTGAGAGATGATAGGTAAAGATGAAAGCTAATCGGTTAGCCCATCCTGAAGAACTAACCACGATAGTTTCCAGGGGGAACCGCGTGGAGGTCGACCTGATAGGGTGTTTTGCTGGCAATGGGTCAGTTAGACCCCATTACTAACTATCTCTCCCCCCCCCCTGCATACATATAAGTAATGTTTACATACTTGATGACCGGCCTTCAGCAAAGAGTCCACAACTCCCTTCCCGAGGTGGTTGTGGCTACGGGACGGTATAGCAAATACACACACTATGTGGTAACCAGAGACCTTGGCTGCTGCCATGCACAGCAGCAGCATGCATGCCATGGATTTCATGTTGGCTGGAAATATAAATGAAGTATTTAGTGTCATAACGATACGTGGAGGCATACCGGTATTTGGCGAGTTACTGGTATTTGGAGAGATATCGGTATTTGAATAGATACCGGTATATGGCGAGAAACCGGTATTTGGCGAAATACCGATATTTGGCGATATACCAGTATATGGCGATATAACGGTAATTGACGATATACCGGTATTTGGCTGTATACTGGTATATGGCGATATACCGGTATTTGGCTATATACCGGTATTTGGTGAGATACCGATATTTAGCGCGATACCGCTATTTGAAGAAATACCGATAATTGGCGAGATACCGGTATATAGCGAGATACTTACCGATATTTGACAAAATTTGTGGAAATACCGGTCTCTGAAGAAATACCGGTATTTGGAGAAAACTATATTTTGAGAGATACCGATATTTGGACACATACCGGTATTTGAGGGATACCAGTATTTAACGGCAAACCTATTTTAACCATTACACTGTTTTAATACTTAAATATCAACAAACAGACAAAACAAATTAATAAATAAAATAGTTATATGAAAGTTTTGACGTTTGTACGTATAAGAAGGTTACATAACAAGTGTATAGGTATGAAAATTAATTAATTAATTGTACTTACAAATTTTAAATATTTATTAAACTATTTTTACACACAGATAGGAACAAAATCAATAAAAAAAAAACTAATTAAAACACTTTCAAATTACATAACGTTTATAACCTTGCAATGTAGTATGTATTAAATATATTGTAGTTTTTTCAATGTACAATTTTATCTATTTATTACATTTTTATACTGTACCTACTTCAGTTTTATCAAAAGACGTGATACAAAATAATAATGAACGTTAATCAAATCACTGATTTGCTTAGTCACACGATATGTTTTTTTTTTTTAAATGGATAATAATGGTATGGTAACCCCGTCTTCGCTATCGGTATGCACCGGCGGGGCACCAGTGAGGGGTGATAGGTGAGGATGAAGCAGGCCAGTTAGCCCACCGTGACCAATCTAACAATATCCATATATGTACAACAGGGTGAACAAGAAAATGTCAATCTTCTCTGAAAATAAAATTAAATGTAAGAGAAAGATAACTAATTGGCTACTAACATTGTACAAAATAAAACTAAATCTAAAACTACAAAACTATAAATATTACACTACAATATACACTCTCTCTCTCTCTCTCTCTCTCTCTCTCTCACACACACACACACACACACACACACACACACACACACACACACACACACACACACACACACACACACACACACACACACACACACACACACAGAGAAGAGAGAGAAACATTACACTCAAAACACATTCTGCATACATTCGTCTTTATAATATAAGAAATACCAAGAATACTTGCCTCACAATACTTGTATTGATGTAATAATGTAGACGTTCAGTAATATATTGTAAAACTCCGGAGAGAGCCTGGAGATCTGTAGTACAGGTTTCGACCTAGTTCAGACACCAGACTCTCACAAGGGTAATAATTTTAATTTAAAAGTCCTAAATAGTCATACAATGTAAAATATTCCTTGTGACTAGTAAATAAAGATTATTTATTATTATTAATAAATCTGTCACGATGGTTTCCAGGCGGAATCACGCGGAGGGCAACCTGATATAGTATATTGCTAGTAATGGGGCTACTAATCCCCATTACTAACAATCCCTTCTCCCCCCACTAAATTGTGTATCCGCATTATTGTTTAAATAAAGTTATATTCTCAGATGATATAGACAGTGTATCTCCATACAAATAATTCATGATAAACGGGTCAACTTTTTCATACAATTTTGCGTGATAAATTGTTATGAGTGATTCCTTTATAACTTCTATATTTATTTTGTTTTATAAAATGCACCTTTTTAATGCGCAAAAACTCATTTTATTTATTAAATAATTAAATATAGATACGTCAAGGTACATTGTGTGCGTGAGTATATAGGACATTAATAAAAAACTATATTGCAATATATACGGATCCTCAGACATCAATTTTGAAAGCAAATGGCGGCCATTTTTAATACTTTTTGTCAGAAGTGTACACGGATCTTCAAAATTTGATTTGAAATGCAATTAGTCAAATAACAATGGTTCTTTGGATAAAATATATATTATAAAAGAATAATAAATAAATATATATATATTTATATTTTCTATACACTAGCCTGCTATGAATTGAGAAAAATAGCAATTGACGGTGTATCTTTCGTCCTCTTTTTACTAATTATATTTGCATAAGAAGAAAGGAGGCAACCATATGATTTACAGTTTTAATTTTATCATTCCCTCTATGTAATTAATTCCTTGTTCTTTATGTATTTATCTATTACAGATAAAATTAAATTCTATATAGGAGATAACGGAATATGAACGTAATGATGACTGTTTACAATTAAAAATAACAACCAGGGCCGAACTGAGCATGTTTTTTTTTAAATAATTTTGAGTATTTAAGTTGCATTGTTAAGGCGTCCCATACTCGGTATTGGATATGGGTGACGGGATGCCTTTTATGCTAGGTGCATTATAGGCAATACACTTCGTTCACCTAGGAAAAACTGTTATAATATCATAACCTTCAAGAAAAGAGTAGTGTTGCGGGTGATCATGGACGGAGGTAGTCACTTACCTACCTACTTATATATATATATATATATATATATATATATATATATATATATATATATATATATATATATATATATATATATATATATATATGGATAATTCTCAAAAAAAGTCGAAAATAGCTTTATCGAGTTAATTTTTTTTTTAACTCAGTATGGAATTTAATCTTGCTTAAGTGGTAGTTTAGGTCTTGTTTAATGAAAATAGTATGGTGGTCCCCAACTTTTTTAAGTTTCAATTGAAAATATGAATAAATAAAAAAAAAATCGAAAATGAGGGAATGACAAATTTGTAATGATTTCATATACAGTTGTACATTAATTACAAACGGAATAATGCACCAATTATTTATTTACTTAAAAATACAATAATTTAAACTATCATATAACAATTTGTATCAGAAAATATATTATTCCCTCACACGGATCATTCCCTCATTAAAAAATTTTAAGAGGGAATGACGATGAGGGAATGACGAAACGAAACAAAATTGCCATAAACTCAGAGACATAACCTTACATTCTTATAAACTGTGAACAGTATTTCATTACTACCGAAAACATATAAAAATACGCTACAAATATTAAATAAAAAAATGCTTACCTTGTGATAACATTACATGAGGGAATGACATGGAAAAATGTAATATTAAAAAAAAAAAAAAAAACTTGTTGTTAAATTAATTTTAACAAAACATCTTTTCTTCCACCGCCTGCTCTAGTATAAACTCTCAAGACCAATAATGCCAACTACAAAAAAATTTGATGTGGGGCTTGGTAGGCCTTTAAATATTACTCCAATCACATTGTTTCATAACAGTGAGGGAATGATAAGTTGTTTGAGGACAAATTTTGAATTATATTTAAAAATATTTTCATTCGCATTTCTTAAACTATGAACTTATGTAGGTATAGTCAATACTATCCTATATGAATAAAAAATAAAAAAAAAACAAACAATTTATAAAGAACTTTACGTTTTTGGTTAATGATTTACTTCGAGCTTAGCGCTTGGGACATAGTGAGGGAATGATTTTTATGGTACTTTTTTGGACATATCTTTTTTGTTTATCGTATAAAAAAATAATTTGTTTCATAAATTTGTACATCTAGTACGGTAGTTTTATTTAAAAAAAATAAAACTTATAATTGACGACGATCCTGGTTTACATAAATCATCAAGGACATCAATTTCGAGTTTTTTTCAGAATTATATATATATATATATATATATATATATATTTAAAAATCTGTTATTCAGAAAATAGTATTGGATAACAGACAGAATGACCCTGTCGATATCGACATTTTGAATAGACATTATTGTACAACACAATAAATAATTATCTTATGTTTTTCATTGCTTTTCAACCGACTTTAAGATAAAGGAGATTCTCAATTCGATTGTATTGTTTCTTATATTTATTACTTCATAACTCCGTCAGTTATAAAACTGATTTGGGAATTTCTATTTTTGTATTTAAAAGGATACACTTACAGTAGATTAATTTTGAAGTTAAAATAAACACAACTGATGTCGATTCTTTTTGTGGAACACAGTCATGACGTGGTTGCATAGATTCATTTCTTAACTTTCCTAGCTTTTAAATAACGCAGTGATTACTTTGTGAATGATACACCTCAGAATAATTATGTAACGGACTTCAATTTGGAGGTCAACGACTCTCTTGAAGAGAAATTACCTGTAACCGGTTATTTTTTTTATTTAATGTGTGAAAATGGTATGGTAACTTCGCCTGCGTTCTAAGCTGGCGGGGAACCGGTGAGAGATGATAGAGTACGGACAAAACCTGTAGGTCTACCATGAAATGTTCTCCGAAATTTCGGGGCCGAACGAAAGATAAATTTGATGTTAAAATTACATAATAATAATATTTTATTTATTTTTATTTATAATATTTATTTATTAAATACAAAAAAAAAAAATTACAACAGCGAGTACATTGGACCCCGCACTAGGAGAACCTGTATCGCGGGAGTCCATATGAGATTACCAAGACACGGTAGTTTACAAATATAAATTAAATTAAAATACTAAGCCAGTTTTTCGAAAGCAACAAGTTAAAATGAAGTGCTTCGTGAAGACATGCGCATAAAACAGAAAATTATGTAAATACTCTAATATTACATAAATAAATACATACAATTAAATATACTAAAGACATACACTACTATATACGAATATCAATAAATGGTATATAATATTAATTCTGTGGCATCGTAATCAAGATTTTGTAAATATCCTTGTATCCTATGTTTAGCTTCCGCATTGTTAAGACCATCCAGTTTGCAGAGATTATTAAGTTTTTTTATATATAAATGGGCACGAATAATAACTA